AGAATAACAACGTCTAAATACTGCAGTGTGTACAAATAGGTCGTGCCCATAGGTCTTGTCCCGTCCTTTGCACAAATTAGTTAATCCTTTCTTATCGACTCATTATCCTTCCAATCTTTTCTGTTATTCGCTTATATTTTGGCTAATTTTATTCAAATGTGTGTGCACGATTACTTTTCTTAATACAAGTGTACTCTATTTTTTATCTGCATTTAGATAGGTACTCTGTCATGCCTTATCGCAATGAGTTGGTTTACTCACGTTCTCTAATTTGCTTCGCTCACTTGGAAAAGGCCGTAATTTTGGATTTTTTATGTTTTCGCACGTAAGTTGCCTAGTTGACCTTGAGATTACAACATTTCCCACTCGGAAAATCCTTCACTGTCATTGGTTGATGGATTATTTTAGTACGCTATTTTTGTGGCACTACCAAGAACGTTTCTATCATGTATAAATAAACTCAATTTGTATGCTTGTCGATCTCGTATTTCTGGGTGCTTGTAGAATACACTTTCTACGTCTTGTCAAGATTTCATCCTCTACTTAATGGGACCTCGGGATGCTGGAATTAGAGTAGCATATCGTGTCACTGGATCATTTGTCTTCGCTCTCGTTTACACAGTAAGGTGAACTAGTAATAATTCAAGCATTCCAATTGACGAGCATATCAAGAAAGTTTCAAGATATCAATATCAACTTTTTGTACGTTTAAGTCGAACAGTTTCAACCGGATATCAGCACTTTATAAGTCATGTTTCATATACACTTGATTTCTGTTAGTCGTGTGAAATACAATAATCAATAAATCAGTGTAATTAGTTCCTGATTTTACATTCCCAAGCAAAAGTTCGGTTACTAAAAGTTTGGACGTCAATTTTTAACAAATTAATACAATACGATAGTAAATCGGAATAACCTTCCAGTGATGGCACTTACATCTCGTCTAACTTCCATGTATGATTAGATTTCGGGAGATCCATTTTGCAAGCTTCAGAATATTTATACCGTAAAGGATTGAGTTTGATTGCGGTTGAATATTCAGTTTAATTAAACAATTTTAGAAACACTGTTTAAAGAATATTCATCAATTCACGATTATAATTTTTCCATGAAATATGAAGTCAACGTTCGATGTTTTAGCGTAAAATTCTGCCTACTTAATCACTAGTTAGTAGTTAGAGTAATTTGGTCACAAAATGTAGCAAACTGTAAAAAAGCTATCCTGAAGAACAAAGCGAATAAGTTTAGATAGACTACTGAAAAACTCATCTTATCATCACTTTAGTATCATGATATATATTCTGCTTAATTATATTCCACCATCAGGTGATTTTTTTGAAAATATAGTTGTGTGTGTGCTCAACTTGAAGAGCTGCTGTACAATGAGAATGACAACTTCGAACGTACATGAGTAACTGATACTAATTACCGTTGTTTACTTCTTCAGTTAATTATTTGCTCATCGAAAGAGGATAAAAATAATTTCTCAGTAAGGACTATTATTTTAATGAATATTCTTCATTTGTCAGTTTATTTCTAAACTACATTTCAACTTATAACTGTCTATACCTAGTATACTGAATTAACTGTAGACACTATGATGACCCATGACCTGAAGTATGAATACAGAAGCGAAAGATAAATATTCATCTAACCCTCAAAATAAGCCAAAACGATAAGTGAAAACTTGAATTTTTAATCGATTTATTTACTGATAGATGTGTACAATTCAGAATGAGTAGTATTTAAGTCCGTCAATAAATAACATATTGTGCGAATACATTTACACTATTGTCATTAAGCATCACCTTAAAAGATACGATTTTCTGTCACAGACGATGAATAAAATCATATATTGACACCGTTAGATGCCAGTTCACTATTTGAGAGAATGAATATTCGAAAGCGAGAGCTAAGGTCCCAGACCCGGAACCCTAGTCCGAATACTGATTCTCTTCTGGACTCGGGCCTCGTACTTTCTGGATGTTTGTAGAATACAAGTTCTATTTTGTATCAAGTCTTCTTTTTTTATTCAATGGGGGTTAAGACAGTCGGATTACAATAGCCTGTCATTTCTACGGATCGTCGAGCCTCGATCTCGTTTTCCGATTAAATTAAACTCGTAATAGTTCAAGCATATCAAATTTATGTGTTGACATGCGTGCGTAACAGATTCCTGTTTGATGGATTATGAATATGCATTGTCGGTAAGTCCCAAACGGCCATCCAGTGCTTACAGGTTTATAACGATGGTCTGACAGCCTGTACTCCATGAGGGGTGATAGGCATTAGTAAGTATGCTGTCATCTTGGTGAAAAATTAAAAATACTCTCTAGCTAGGGATTAGATAAAATATTTTAGAATGCTCTTGGCATACCTGCATTGGAGTCGTATAGATTGTTGAATTGTGTTAAGATTTTGAACTGATTTAAGTGAAACGACCATTGAAAGCTTGTAGGGTAGATGTTTCTTCCCCAGCATGGAATTACTTATTGGTGAATAATCATGACCTTTAAATTGAGTATCGAAGTCATGTCTGTCAGTTTCATTTACGGACGCTTAACCCTTACAACAATGAGTTATTATCCAATAGTCAGTCATTCGACGATACTGGAGGACCATTTTTATTGTCTTAGACGTGTACCTTAGATCGATTCCTGATACTGATAACAACCAACGCTTTCCACAACCTCCATAATTTAAATTATCGTATGATTACTAATGACTCGCGGTGATAGGAAATTTCCAAAGTCATAGTGAGAAACAATGCACAATACGGATCAATAGTATCGAGTGTAAGGCTGGTACGCATTAAAGACAGTAAAAGACAGATGGGCAATATCACTGATTCATTAAACTTAAACTTACACACCACTGGATCCTGATTCAATGATGTAGAGGTTAGTCGTTCGTGTGCGAAACTAACAAACATGAGTTCGATACTCGTTGTAGAGGTCATGGATATTCACTACTGGGGAAAAGTATCTAACAAGTGCTTTCAAGTTTTACATGGCTGTCTAAAATCGATTGATTAGTGATCTTAATAACGAATATAACTTGGAGTAAACATTAAACCACCAACTTAAATGAATTTAATAACTATACTCATTATTTTCATTTAAAGTTATGGAGATTAGCGTTTTCACACATTTGAAATCATCTGTCAGTCATTGTTAGACCACCATTAGAAACCTGGAAGCACTGACAGACGACCGTTTCGTCCTGGTATGGGACTCATCAGTGGCAGTGGGCATCCATGACTCCTGCCCCTCGCAGGATTCGAACCCGTGACCTTCTGTAATGTGCGCGAACGTCTAACCTCTGGACCACTAGGCCGGCACCCGACGGTGTTAATGTCTAACTCTGATTGATCTAGGGATTTTGTGCGACTTCACCTATTTGTCTTTGGTAGTTACTGCCTATACCCGATTATTTGAAATGATGAACCGTTATAACTCTGATACTTATGAATTACACAACATTCAATAGTCCGATTAGATGGTCATTCATTTAAACGTTATCCAAAGCCATGAACTAAACACAAGTATGTTAATTTCTTACATTGTCTTCTATAGAATTCGTAATATTATAAAGTTATCAAGTCGATTTCTTCAGAATTCAATGAAGGATATTAAACTGACATTCATGATTTATACGTTTATACACTTATACGGTTGTGGAGATTGTTGAGTTTCATTGAAATAATGTAAGACCACCATTAGAAAGAAACCTGTAACCACTGGATGGCTGTTTCGTCCTGGTGCGCATTCACAACCCATGCGAACGAGAATCGAAGTTAAGGCCTTCAGCTTTGAGAGCAAACGCCTAACCTCTTGTAGTGAATCACTCACTGTCTAGCTCACATGACTTGTCCCACTTGTCTTTCGACCTTGTCAATCATTCGTCGCTTCCATTCATGTGTGTGCATGCTTATCTCTCTCGTTACATGTCTGTCTTATTTTTGTCTGACTATAAATTCTTAGTCATGCTTAATCTCTAGGAGTTGACTCATTAGCCTTCTCCACTTCACTTGCTTGCTTGTTTGCGCCGGTGTGTGCCAACGATAAACGCATTCAACTATTCAAGTTCACCTTCTGATTTATAAACCATCAGACGCTATTTCGTAACGATTGTCTAGACGAGCCAATTTACGAAGCCTAAAAACAGTTGCATACCGACCGTCACGAAACTAGTTATACCTTGCACACCGCACACACCAAATATTAATCAACTTATGGTACGAACACAATTCAACAAAATCCACAACCCCTTGTAATGAGAATCATAAAATAAACTCCTTAGTGGCTAGGTTCGTGAGGAAATTCTAGGAGGCTCTAGTGAGAACCTGTGACCGATGGAGTTCAACCCTACCTAGTGTGAAGCAATGCCCACCAAAAACCATTAGTGAGGCTGTGAAAAACCGTGGAATGATCGAAATAAGACATTAACACCGCTGGATTCTGACTCAGTGGTTTACAGATAAAGCGTTCTCATTTAAGACCGAAAGTCTTGGGTTCGATACCTGCGAGCGGAGTTTTTCGATGCGCTATGTCGATGAGCTTTACGCAAGGACGAAACAGCCATCCAGTGACTTCAAGTTTCTTCCGAATGACCAACTATCAATGATCAATCCATACTAATCAATAAAACTTAACAATCTCACATGAATTAACTTTACAATGAAAAATACTTGAAAAAAAATGCAAAAAGAAATTCTATTCATACTATGAAAATGTACTACTATTTATATTTTCGACAGTAATAATCATAATAATAATAATAAAAACTACATCTTGATTTTTTAGTCTGTATAAATTTTAAAAAAAACTAATTTTTTTCTTATAAAAAAATAAATTTTTATATTTGATACCTACAGGTTTCCAATTTATCGCACACGAAAAAAAATACTACTAAATACACATTGTACACATCACATACTACTGGAAAAAGTTGAATTGATTTAAACAAACCAAAAAAAGAGGGACAAATGCAACCGACATTCAAAGTTTACTCCATAAATTGCTTTGATACATTTGTCCACCACTAGTTTCAATATTAATCAATGAATTGCATAAATTCTCTTCAGTAATAAATGTACTAGTCTGTGAATGAGGCATTTTAAAAAATGTCACACAATTATTTACATACGGATCACAATTGGTTGTTATTAATGATGGTAGAGGATTATTATTGATGTCCGATGTCCGATTCTCATCATCATGAGCATGGGTAGGATAAGCATCGTTTGACTGACAGACACATGACCTGTCTAATTGATAAATAGTATCTTTACTATCAGTATTCATTAACATCAACATGTTATGGTCGGTTAAATAATCCGAATGATTCGGTGATAAATTTTCATTCAATGTCCAATTTGTATATGGTTGTTTGAATCGGTCAATTGATGTGTTGTTTTGTGCTGATTGACAATGAAATGCTTGTGAATAGCAATTGTGTTTTTTCATGGAATTGACATGTTTTGACAGTTTCGCGGAGGATGTTGATGATGATGAGGAGGAGGACGATTTATGTTTGAACCAATAAATCAATAAGCTGATACCGCCGATTAAACAAATTATCAGAAATAAACAGCATAACACCATGACGATCAATAAATATTGATTATGTGTCGAGAAGATTCTCCAGTTATTGTTGATTAGTGATGTAGGGTGCGTGATTGGAATTTGGACAATTTTTGAACCACTCACTGTGGATTGACCAGTATCAGTGATACGGACTATTCGAATTTCATATTGACAACCTAAATTTGAAGGCACAGAAGAACATTCAAAATGCATCATCTGAACTGCTTGATGATGGCAGTATTTCTACAGTTGAAGAACATCTAGAACTCAAAACAAGTATCAACCAACATCAGAGTGACAATTATCAATACAAATGTCAAGACAGTTCCAGAGTATAGGGTGAAAACTCGAAGAACCAAGAAACAAGTGTTTATTAACAGTTATCTAAACAAGATACTGAGGATCCGTTGACTAGACATCATCAGCAACAACCTACTGTGAATATGTTCGAAATTATTACGAGTTCACCTTACTCGGTAAATGGAACGAAGATTAACGATGCAGTGACACGATAAGCTTGTCTAAACCTGTTGTCCCAGGCCCGGCTAACTACAGCAAGAAGTCTTGATAAGGCGTAGATAGAATGTATTCTACAAGCACCCAGAAAATATGAGGTCCATAAGCACACAAATTAAGCTTATTTATACAAGTGAATAAATGCCCTTTGTGAGAGTCACAAAATAGTGTACCAGAATAATCCATCAACGAATAATAGTCAAGGATTCCCAGAGTGGGAAATGTAAACTGAAGGTCAACTAGGCGACTTATGCGCGAAAAATTTCAGAAATAAAAAATAGCTTAGGACCTAACTTCCTCGAGAAAACCAGATTCAAGATGAGGAAGGAATTATGGTGAAGTGATGGAGATGGATAGGACACACATGTTGAGGAAAGCACCCAACTGTGTTACAAGACAAGCCTTCATTTGAAATTCTCAAGGTCAAGGGAAAAGACAAAGATCAAAGAACGCATTACTCAGACATCAAAAGAATGAATAGCGATTGGATAGAACTGAAAAGGATGGCCCCATACAGAGTAGTTTGGAGAATGCTGGTCGTCTGTCTCTTCTCCATCAGAGGAGGGTCAGCTAATAGGGGTAAGTAACTAAGTAGAGACTGAAACTTAACTGTATTGGGATAGTTGAATTTTGTAGATTACATTATAGATTGACTTTGGTCAAATGAGAAGGCACTAGACAGTTGTTTCATCCAGTCTTCATTGAAAACCCAATCAGGGATTGGACATAAGAGCACTTAATATTTAGGCATATGAGTCGATATCCAATGATTTAAATTTCTGACTTCTGACATAACTGAGTTGTTATCATCTAGTGTGATTATGGATAAGCTGACTTATTTCCAGAATATTCGAACTCCACTAGTCACTAAAGGTCATATGATGCCTTCACCAACATACAAGATTTACTTTCATTCTTACGAGTTAGAATCTTTCTAATCTACACAACCAACGCTCAGACACTCAATCTACTTGCAAGATGTTATCGCTATACAAAAAAACTTATCAACATTTCGTTTTAACTCGTGAAGAGCAGACTAGAGAAAACCGGGCTGGTTTTCGACCTGAACGTGGCTGTATAGACCACATCTTCACGCTACGACAGGTCCTCGATCACAGACACATATTTAGGCATCCGACAATAGTTGTTTTCCTGGAACTTATGGCCGCATTTGACTCAGTGGATCGTGAGGTTCTGTGGCAGTGTCTGTCATTGAAAGGTGTACCAAAGAAGTACATTAACCTCATACAAGCTCTCCACTCGAACATCAGTGGTCGAGTGAGAGCTTATGGAGAACTGTCACTGGAATTCTTCACTTTAAGTGGTGTCCATCAGGGATGTCCACTTTCTCCATTCTTGTTTAATTTTATCATAGACATGCACCTAGAAATAACATTATCCTTGCCTGACTTTTCAGGTGCCCTTATTGACTTAGAATATGCCGATGACATATTCCTACTTGGTGAAGACGCTGACAAAATGCAGAGTCTTCTGACTACCCTAAGCAACAATGCAAGCATGTTCGGGATGCGGTTCTCACCCTCGAAATGTTGTTTCAAGATTGGGTTTCATCAGCTCCCGAACTAGTGATAGGGGGTGAAGTAGGCGAACGTGTAGACCGGTTCACTTATCTGGGGAGTCTCATCAGTGCTTATGGCCTGGTGACTGACGAAATCTCAGCTCGGATACAGAAGGCTCGATTGGCTTTTGCGAACCTGTGTTACTTATGGAGTAGGCGAGATATGCTCTTGATGAATAAAGGACGAGTGTGCTGTGCAGTAGTTCGCTCCGTCTTACTTTGTGAAACATTAGTCAGTGAGAGTAGAGAGGATATATTCGTAGGTTACTGGTTTTCGATCATAGGTATGTTCGAAGCATTGCCAGTATATCCTGGGACAACCGAGTGGGCGACGCTGTGATTAGGAAACGAGTACTAGGTAGGAATGGAAGATCAATAGATGAAGTGCTGAAACTTCATCAGTTGAGGTGGTTGGGACATGTGTTACGTATGCCTAACCACCGACTGCCTCGACGAGCTTTGTTTTGTAGTGTAGGAATAGGTTGGAAGAAAGCTAGTGGCGGCCAGACTAAAACATGGCAGAAATTCATGAAGTCATTGACGAGTGGACTGAGCCATGTCGGTAGTTGTCGACTACCTGGTTGGGATCGATGGTGAGAGACCTTGAATGACATGGCTCAAAACCGTTTACAATGGCGCAGGTGGATTCATTCTTTGTGTTCTCTCAAATCCTAATCTGCTGGATTATTCAACCCCTCTAGTTTTGACTTTCTTAACTTTTCTCATTAAATCATAGTTCTTGAATAATATCTTCTAATCCTAACCTCTCCGATTACTTCTAATACCTTTACTACATCTTCTACTATTGGATTTGAATTGACAATTATATCCGTCTGTGCTAATGTTGTATGGCGACATGAACTGATGTACTTATGTACGAAGTTCTACGTTGCATCTGACTGACTAATTTAGTTTCGTTTAGAACTCTTCATAACTGTCAGTTATTAGCATCATTGTCATGTCAAGTTAATCAGACTAAAAACCAAAATAGGATTATGAATTTCGTCACAATTTGACGACTCAGCCATGTAGAGGTCAGGTCCTGAGTTTGATTACCAAGAGCAAGAGTCATGAATATGCACTGTTGATGAGTCTCATACCATGAAGAAACGGCTGTTCAGTGCTTCCAGGATACTACTAATAGTGGTCTAACATTGATCGATTCATGATTTCAATGTGTCTTAACATTCTCTACGACCCTTTTATTGCCAAATTGACTGTCCATCATTTTAAATCTCTTAATTTTACTCAAATATCAATGATGACTCTTGGGTGAATCGAGTTAACCAAGAATCAATAACACGAAAAGTCGACTAACACAACATCTCTCTGTTAGTGGCACATAGATGGAATTAAAACATGACTACATTGCTGCGCGCTGATTGGCTAATTTCCTATCTAATCAGCGCCTGATCGATTCTTGGAGAACAGAGTAGAAAATTCTCGTGTTATTGTTAGCTGCATGCTGATTGGCTAAATCTAATCCAGTCGATCACGTGAATTTCTATCCAGAAGCTTCTCATGTAAATGCTATAAAGGAACTAACGTTGTATCTCTTTATGGCCTTCGCCTTCGCCATCACCTTTTGGCTTCTTATTTCCATTTACCTTTGCTATTTGGAATATAATCTTTTTCCTGTTCAACCGTGTTTTGTTGATTCTTTGGAACTTGTCCAGTGTATTGTGTGGTGAAAGAATACACTAAGCAATAGGATTTAGCTGGAAATTATTCAAGCAAGCGTTACAATACTCTCATTTTTTCTAAATTCAAAAATCACTAAACAAAATATCCAAACAATCTGGTCACACATATTTACTTGTCAAGGCATTATTTTATATGAAGATGAATAAAAGGCCAATTAAATAAAAGTTTAAATACACATAGGGTGATAATTGTAAATAAAGGAGAGAGAAAATTAACGTAATATGAAAAGAATAATAAGAGGGGTAGGAAAATTGTCGCATTACCTCTTAGGCTTGCAGATTACCAAGATAAATTCAAGGTTACGACAAATGGTTTCTGCACACATAAGGGGGATTTTAATTTTCGAATAGCCAAGACCTCCATAAACCTCAAAATCCGGTCCTTCAACATTTCTATACAATATTTTTGAAGGCTGTCTTGATGTCAATCTTAATTGTGCCCTGTCTCAATGATGTGTTTTACGATCGATGAACATGGTTTTATATTTCTCTCTGACGTTAACTGATTTTGAAGCCACTTAGGTACATGTTCCCCCTTATGTGTGCAGGGACTAATTGTTTTAAAATACTCAAACCTCCGAAAAAAAAGTTTACCTCTATGTAAATTACTTAAAACAACCCATGAATTGTATAATTCACGTTGAGTTTCTTCCCAAATTTCTGTGCCTAATTGACGAAATTGAACATAGAACATAAATTGTGATTTGAATTGATGATGATTGAACTTTCTAATTGGTTCGTCAACAGTGTTTACATTGAAGCGTGTTTTAGTATTTTGTTCAATTGTCAATGGGATTGTCGGTGACGATGATGATGAAGAGGACGAAGAGGAATTTGTATTATCATTCACTAATTCTGAGCTGTTTAAATCATTATTCAATGTTGAAGATAACGGTGTGATCAATGTTAAATTCAATGCATTCACATGACCTTCAATGGAGCTGATTTTAAAAGGAATATGACCATAATCTATAGAAAAAAAATAAATATTGAAAATTAATAGTAGTATGGCGTGTGCTACTTATGCAAACGATATAAGTAGTATAAGAAGGGACGTGAAAGAAGAAGTCTCACCACGGTCAGAAGAGGAAAACGGAAAGCAAATGGAGCAAAATCAAGAAGTAAATGGAGTAGTACCAACAGGAAGTAAAGGAAGCAACAACAAGAATGGAGGAAGGAAGGATGGAGTGTTGGAAGTCACGACTCAAAGATGGTGTGCAAATAGAGTGTATTCAATGTAATGTTTTCGTTTTTAATTGACTAAATTTGCATAATACAATCTTCCTCGCCTGCCTCAGTCTTCTCAGTAGCAATAATTTGAAAATGATTGTTAAAATGAATTAGACAATTTATTTAAGCAATTGAAATGAATTTGGTTTATGCACCGTGACCTTGAAATGATTTGTACAATTGTCAGTAGTTCGCCCCTTGAGTGACCTTGAAGATAATTGTTTTAAAACGAACTTTCAACATTCGATTTGACTCAGTAGCTAAATGAGAAACACGATGCTGTTGAAAGTGAACAGTAGTAGGTCCGAGTTCCTGCAGGAAGATCATCTTTGCGATGCAGATACATTCACCTACTGAAGAGTCTCAAATAGGGCGAAACACGAGTCCTAGATCTTATCTATTCTAGATGAACATTGTAATGCCTCTACATACATGTGAGTTCGCTTATATCTAATTTGGTTAAGCCTTTCGATTAACTTAAGTAGTCAAGTCATTTGTATAGCAACAAATTATATGTATCATTGGCTTTTACGATTGTCTGGTTTGTATGAGCTGGTACGTGCATATTCATCCTAATCGCTTTAATGTTGGTCTCTTAAATATTTCGATGACGCAGACATTTCCTAATATATATATATATATATATATATATATATATATATATATATATATATATATATATATATATATATATATATATATATATATATATATATATATATATGGACATTTTAAACTTAATAATTCATTCGCCGATTCGCTTGCTAGTGTGCTAGCTCTGCTCTGCGTGCTTGTGGTCTGCTGGTCCATTTGTAGTGTGCCAACAATGAACAGATTTAACACTTCGTGTTCACCTTCTGATTTATAAACCTTTACATATCTGAGCAGCATCATCCACAACCGATGCAGACGTGACGGTGTGGATTGGCAAACCAAGAGCTGAATTTCTACAGTTGAAAAATATCTGGAACTCCAAACAACTTTCAACCAAAAACAAAATCTGGATTTTCAATACAAATGTCAAGACAGTTCTACCGTATGCAGCGGAAACCTGGAGAATTACGAAAGCCATCATCCAGAAGATACAAGTGTTTATTAACAGTTGTCTTCGCAAAATACTTCGGATTCGTTCGCCAGACACCATCAGCAACAACTTACTGTGGGAGAGAACAAATGAGATTCCAATCGAGGAGGAAATCAGGAAGATGTGGTGGAAGTGGATAGGACACACACTACGAAAAGTACCTAACTGCATCACGAGATAAGCTCTCACATGGAACCCTCAAGGCAAAAAGAAAAGAGGAAGGCCAAGGAACACATTACGCCGAAAAATACAGAAAGATATGAGAAGAATGAACAAAAACTGGAAAGAATTAGAAAGGGAAGTCCAGGACAGAGTTGGCTGGAGAAAACTGGTCGGCGGCCTATGCTCCATCGGGGGGCAACAGGCGTAAGCAAGTAAATAAGTAAGCTATTTGGTAACGATTGTCTAGACGAGCAGCCTACAAAATCTAAGAACACATTACAGATACCAAAACGTCACAAAACTACTGAGTGATACTTCGGCTACCACCACAATATATTACAAAACAATGTTACTAATGTGTCATTTTTTTTCTACCTTGACTTAGTGTTGCAGTACGAAAATTCACAAATGCTGGTTGACCACGTCCAACAGCTGTTCTAGCCCAAATAAATAATGAATAATAAGTGTTCATTTTTAAACCGGCTATTCGTGTTGCACATTGTTCTGGATCGTTAATTGTGATAGATGAGATCATTTGTGAATTGTGTGCAAATAGTTTATTGGTTTCAGTGAAATTATCTGAAATCAGGAGAAAAAAATAAATATATTATGACTTGAGATGGAAAGCAGATTTGAGAATAGTTTACATTAGAAATAATTTTTTCAGTGGCTCTGTGTTAGGATATTCATCCAATATCCTAAGAGAATTATTGATCAAATCCTATTGGTCGATTTCTATTGGTCAAAATTATGGTCGTCCTAGATATCAATGTCACGTGCTCCAATGTTGTTTCTTATTGGACATCTGGACTGTCAATGTCATTTCAAAAGTTACTTCTGATTGATCGTCTTAATTGTCAATGCCACAGAATTCGATGCTGTTTCCTATTCGATCAAAATGTATAAATACACAGGACCAGGGCTCAGTCGCGGATCCCTTGTCCGGGATCCTGATTCTCTTCTGGATTGGGACCTCATACTTTCTGGATGCCTGCAGAATACATGTTCTACTTTATATCAAGTCTTCTTCTTTTATTCAATCGGGGTTGGGACACTCGGATTAGATAAGCATGTCGTGTCGCCGGATCATCGATTCTCGCTCTCGTTTTCCGACTAAGGTAAACTCGTAATAGTTCAACTATATCAAACTGACGTGTTTACGTACATAAGTAACACTGCCTGAGTTACTCTTCTCTTTTCTTTTGATCTTGTCAGTTATTCGCTTATAACCTTGGGTACTTTTCCTCAACTGTGTGTGTGTGCGGAAGCATCGTTTGCTTCGCTTATCGCATGTCTGGCTAATTTTTGTCTGACTAAAAATACTTAGTCATGACTTGTTGAGTCTCGTTGTAGGTTAATAAGACGTTGGTACTCATTAGCCATGTCATTAAGTGTGAGCTTCGGATCTTGCTCCAACAGACATTGTAGCCTTGTTCTAATATCACTGAACTTATGCTACTGGAGGCTACAAATGAGTATAAGGGCTTTAAACTGATCTTCCGACAAAGACTTCAACCGAAAGCAGACGAATTCATGGTTAACGATGCCCACATACGTAAGAAAATCATCATCTTCGTTCATAATTAGCTTCAAAATCGATAACGAGTATCAAAATAGTGACGAGTTGTTGCCAAAGTGTTGGCTCAATGTCTGAACTGTCTCAGAAAATGAACAATCTCGTGGGTTCAAAGGCAGGATCAAATTACAAGATAAAAGATTACTTGATTTAGACATTTCAATACACAATTAGGACTACATGCTCCCTCAGATGTGCCTACAGAACAGACAAATATATTACGTGCTTACTTTGAAAGAAAATAATTCTCTTGAGACGTTTATAACAAAGCGTTTAATGATGAAAAGTGAGCGTAAAAGAAGTCCCAATTACAACCAAGAAGTCTCTGTCAGTATGACTCTATAAAGCTACACCGACCAATTCTAAAAACTTTTAATACAGCTAAACTGCTATCAGTCGCAACGTAGAACTTCGTAAGTACGTACATCAGTGTTCAAGTTGTCATGTCATATGAGCACAAAGACTCAACTGTCAATTTAAATCCCATAGTAGTAGAGGTAGTATTGTGGTGTGTGCAGCAATCTCGTCAACTCCACGGCCAGCACGAGTGCGTCGCCATCCACCGACAGTCGCGCCTCTCGGAACTTCTGCAGCGCGTCTTGCCTATCCGCCGGGCTGTCGAACTCCACCAGCAGCCTTTCCGTCACCACCTTCCAGTCAGCGTCCTCCACACTGTCGTACACCGCTCTCGCCCTGCCTCTTAGTAGAGGCCCCAGCACCACCGCCTTTACCCTCCGTCCCTTGACTCCGACCAGCTCTGCGACGGCCTCAAATATCCTTCAAGAAGCTCCTTACGTCTCCGTCCTCAAATTCCCGAGGCCATGGTATCTTCTTCCTGTGTAGAGGCAGCGACATCAATTGAGAAGACTGAGGCAGGATCGATAGATTGTGTTAGGCAAATTTACACTCTTAGTCAATTAAAAACGAAAACATCACATTGAACACTCTATTTGCACACCATCTTTGAGTCATGACTTCCAACGCTCCAGCCCTCTTCCATTCCTGCTGTCGCTTCCTTTACTTCCTGTCAATACTCTATTTATTTCCTGTTTTTGCTCTATTTGCTTTCCGTTTTCCTCTTCTGACCGTGAGACTTCTTCTTTCACGTCCATTCTTATACTACTTATATCGTTCGTATAAGTAGCACACACCACAGTATGAGTATTAGCATTAACTGGAAGGATCAAGATGCGAAGATATTGCTCAAGAAGTATAATCCAGTGAAATAAACTTAAGACGAGAGATCGACAAAGGTGATGAGGAATTCAGAAGATTAGAATTTCAGAGAACACAAAGAATGTATGCACCTGCGCCACTGCAAACAATTTTGAGCCATATCATTCAAAGTCTCTAACCATCGATGACTATTGTCTCGTGGACCTCAAACCTGATGACAGTCTACACTTACCTACTAACATAACTCAATCCAGTGTGCCAGATTAAGCAAAAGTATGAACTTACAATTTACAAACTAGAAGAATAATACTTGTTTTTTTGTTCACTTACTTAAATATATTTCTAAATCATATGAAATTAATTGTCCATTTAAAATGATCGGTTTAATCCATGATACTTCAATATGATTGACACCAATAAATGTGATTGTTAATTCGGATACTTTTTCTGGTACACCTTCTTTTGTTTCAACAATGATTGCATCACTATTGAAATTGATATTTTTGGGGATAGAAAACATCAAAAAAAAAACAAAACAGAATGAACATCAATTGGGCAGAATTACAAAAGTAAGATCCAGGATAGATTGAATTGAAGAATTCTAGTCGACGGACTATACTCGATTGGTGCTAACAGGCTTAAAGTTAGTAAGTAACTAAGTAACTAAGTATGCACGTGCATAAGTAAGTAAGTGCATAAGTAAGTAAGTAAGTAAGTAAGTTAGTTAGTTAGTTAGTAAGCTAGTTAGTTAGTTAGTAAGAAAGTAAGTAAGTAAGTAAGTAAGTTAGATAGTTAGTTAGTTAGCTAGTTAGTCAGTTTGTTAGTAAGAAAGTAAGTAAGTTAGTTAGTAAGTAAGCAAGTAAGTAAGCAAGTATTGTTTAAGTTGTCTAGTAGTCATCTGTAATCTATTAACTTGTTTAAGTAGATGATTCTCAAAGTTATACTGAAAAGTTCTACCCGCTCTTTTTCAATCAGTACTATTAAAAGATTTTGTTGATTTGAACGAATATTGACTTAACGGTTTAAAATTAAACACTCAAAACCGAACCTTGAGTTCCATCTCAGATGTGGTCGTAAGTAAGCACTCTTGTAAAGTCTCATCTTAAAAATATACAAGTGTTGAGTGCTTTTTTACTATAATTGTTTCCTAACTAAGATTATTTCTCGATATAAATTAATATAATCCGTTTGAAATCAGAACTGATATTTTCTATACAATACTAATTATCGCTAGACCACCATTAGAAACCTAGAGGTACTGAGCGGCCGTTTCGTCCTAGTATGTGACTCATTAACTCCTCTGAATGCCAACTCAGTAGTCTAGAGTTTAAGCGTTCACCCTTACGACCGAAAGTCCTGTATTTGATTCCTGCGTGCCGGAGGTTGTGGTTGAGCACTACTGCTAATGATGAGTCCAATACCAGGACTAAACGGCTGTCCAATGCTTCCAGGTTTCTTTCTAATGACGGTCTAACAATGATCGATTCACAACATCAAACGAAACTCAACAATGTGCAAAATTGTATACTAAAAATCACAAAAATCATTAACAATTATGGATCAATAATAATAATAATAATAATAATAATAATTACTAAATACCAAAGAAAGGTGATCTAAGCAAGTGTGAGAACTACAGAGGCATCACTCTTCTTTCAATATCAGGCAAAGTCTTCAACAGGGTATTGTTAAACAGAATGAAGGACTTCGTAGATGCCCAACAGTCTGGGTTTCGTAAGGATCGATCATGTACTGACCGAATAGCTACATTACGGATCATTGTGGAACAATCAATTGAATGGAACTCACCACTTTACATCAACTTCATCGACTACAAGAAAGCATTTGATAGCGTGGATAGGAAAACACTGTGGAGGCTTCTTCGACACTACGGTGTGCCTGAGAAAATAGTTAACATCATACGGAATTTTTATGATGGATTCAACTGCAAAATCGTACACGAAGTACAACTAACAGACTCTTTCGAGGTGAAGACCGGTGTCAGGCAAGGTTGCTTACTCTCACCCTTTCTCTTTCTCCTGGTCATCGACTGGATTATGAAGACGTCGACATCTGGAGAGAAGCACGGTATCAACTAGACAGTTAGGAGACAGCTGGACGACCTGGACTTCGCAGATGACTTGGCTCTTCTATCGCACACGCAACAACAAATACAAGAGAAGACGACCAGTGTAGCAGCAGACTCTGCAGCAGTAGGTCTCAACACGCATAAAGGAAAAAGCGAAATTCTCCGATGCAACACAACATTCACCAACCAAATCACTCTTGATGGAGAAGCCTGGAAGGACGGTAACACCGTTACATATCTTAACAGCATCATCGACAACCAAGGTGGATCCGATGCACATGGTAATGCTCGGATCAACAAAGCAAGGGCTGCATTTCTACAGTTGAAAAATATCTAGAACTCCAAACGAATATCAATCAACACATCAAAATCAGGACTTTCAATACAAATGTCAAGACAGTTCTACTGTATGTAGCGGAAACCTAGAGAACTACGAAAGCCATCATCCAGAAGATACAAGTGTTTATTAACAGCTGTCTACGCAAAATACTTTGTATTCGTTGGCCAGACACGATCAGCAACAACGAACTGTTGGAGAGAACAGATCAGATTCCAGTGGAGGAGGAAATCAGGAAGAAGCGATGGAAGTGGATAGGACACACACTGCGTAAAGCACCTAACTGCGTCACGAGACAAGCCCTCACATGGAACCCTCAAGGCAAAAGGAAAAGAGGAAGGCCAAGAAACACACTACGCCGAGAAATAGAGACAAACATGAGAAGAATGAACAACAACTGAACAGAACTGGAAAGGAAAGCCCAAGACAGAGTTGGTTGGAAAAAACTGGTTGTCGGACTTTGCTCCATTGGGGGTAACAGGCGTAAGTTAGTAAGTAAGTAATAATAATTATTAATACTACTCTAAATGTGTTTACCTTTCTGGTCCAGCATATTGTATATTCAATATACGAACCCATAGTTTTAATTTTGTTTTCCCGGGTAATTCATTTAAATAAGCTTTATAATGATCATTTTCAAATTTAATATTTGAATGTAAATGTTCCAATGGAGAAGATGCAGTAGCCGAGATATTTTTAACATTCATCTCATTATTACTATTATTATTATCAGTAGTAGTAGTAGTAGTAGAATCGATTTTTTCTAATAATATTGTAGACTTTCGACGTAGATGTGGAAATGACCATTGCGGTGGCTGTTCAAGAATGTAATCCTTTAAAAAGAGAGAGAGAGAGATAGAGATGGACTGAAGAAAATAACTCTTGGTGATTGTTTGAAAAAGTCTACGCAGGAGTGTAAAAGAATGTTGAAAAAAAATGTATCTGCTACTAGCGGGTGTTTTATTTGAAGTTGTTAGGATATTCAACCAATAATCCTAAGAGAATTATTGTCCAATTCCTATTGGTCAATTTTATGTTCGCCCTAGATATCAAAGTCACGTGCTACAATGTTGTTTCTTATTGGTTGTCCTGACTATCAATGTCACTTCAAATGTTGTTTCCTATTGGTCAACCTAACTGTCAATGTCACAGAATTCGATGTTGTTGCCTATTCGACCAAAATGTATAAATACCCATTATCTGTGACGTTTTATGACCCGGACCCGGACACGGATCCTTAGTCCGCGATCCTCATTCTCTTCTGAACTCGGACCTCCAACTTTCTGGATGTTTGTAGAATACAGGTTCCACTTCATTTCAAGTCCTCTTATTTTTTACTCAGTGTGGGGGTTGGGATAATCGGATTAGAGTAGCATGTCGTGTCGCCGGATCCTCGATCCTTTTTTTCCGACTAGGTAAACTCGTATTAGTTCAAGCATATCAAATTGACGTGTTTACGTGCATGCATAACAGAAGTCTTCAAGAAAACTCGAGGAAACACTTTATGATGCTCTCGTTATTATCCTGAATTTTCAACCGATTTCAGTTTAGTTCTGTAGAAGCATCTAAGATCACAAAGTGATCTGTGACACTATGAATACCCTTATTTTCCATGCGTAAACCAAACTTCAAAATGAAACTGTTTTTTTTTCACTTTTCACCGTTTACTTTCTCTTTAGGGTTCAAGAGTTGAAGACCGTTAGGAATCAGGAGGCTAATCATTTTCTAGGTATGTTCAGCCATAAATCATATCAAAGAATATATGCCTTTTTCATCCATGATATGATCTGCTTAATTAGTACACAATGAAGTTTCCTTTTCTGAGCTGGATGTTTTGATTGTGGGGCTTATATTGTCTTTCTTCTAGACAATAACATCATCAGCACAAACTTCAGGTAGAAGAGTGAAGTATTCGAGTTTCTCCATGCAGTATGACTCGTAGCTTGTTCTGTCGACCGAAATATTCATTGATCGTTGTTGCTGATCTTAGTCCTGTAGTTGTCTTCATCTTTATTTCGATTCTGTGTGCTGATGACATTGTTCAGGAGAACAGTGAAAGCTCCAAAACCACAAAATACCATCGCAGTCATCCACTTGAACTACATAATTTTCTCCGCCACATCATAGACGTATATACATGTATGTCTTTGACTGTACATTGATGAAGAGTTACATTCTTAGACTAAATAACTATCTACAGTTTATTGATTTTCAGTTTTTCACGTTGAATCACTTTTCACTAAATAATAAACGTGCATATACGAGTTACCAACATCCAAAGTTGTATTTTCATGCCGCGAACTTGATTAAAACAACTGACAGTAGAGTTATTCGGTGATGATCCGATTGTACCTTGAATTGACTAAAGTTGGGAATCTAACTCAGTGATTGATAATATACTACTAGCTCGGTGTACTATACTGAGTTATCCCAAAGGAGAATAGTACAGTTTGCATTATTTCATACCATGTGGAAAGTGTCGCTTTATATAGTATTATTCATCACAACCCGTTTACCTACTTAAATGTAAATATCAGTAGCCAATTGTAATAAACTAAAATAAAAACAAACCGAACTGAACTATTTTTTCTAACCTGAAATTTTTTATAAAATTCACAAGAATCATTTGATAAATCTGCATCACACCATTCCACTCGAAATCCTTGAAAGATACCATTAATTTTCAATGTAAAATCAATATCTTTAATCATTTTCCAACTGAGTAGCAGATGGTTTGAACCAATATTTAGGATTCTTAATTGTGTTGGAGCGAATTGTGGTATATCTTCACCGGAACGTCCAGTAACTAATAATGGTTTGATTCCATAAGAACCTAAATAATTTTCAGCTCGTAAAGTAACCTTTAAAATAGAATACAGTACAATAATTTATGAAGTCAATAGGACTGATATGCAGGGAGTAGTAGTCTTTCAGTGTTATTAGGGTGTTATAATTAGAGTTAAGTTTATCTATCTGTCAGTAACGACGTACTGTGGGAGAGAACAAACCAGATTCCAGCGGAGTTGGAAATCAGGAAGAAGCAGTGGAAGTAGATGGGACACACATTACGAAAAGCACTTAACTGCGTTACGAGACAAGCTCTCACTTGGAACCCTCAAGGCAAAAAGAAAAGTGGAAGGCCAAAGAACACATTATGCCGAGAAATAGAGAAAGATATGAGAAGAATGAACAAAAATTGGACAGAATTGGAAAGGGAAGCCCAGGACAGATTTGGTTGGCGAAAACTGATGGTCGGCCTTTGCTCCATTCGGGGGTAACAGGCAAAAGTAAACGTAAGTAAGTGAGTTTATCTATAATGCTTTCAGTGCTTATTACTTGTATTTCGTTTCACAAGGCGAAAGTAACGTGATTTTCAGAGCAGTGCGATTTCTACAAAACTGAATGAAAAACACAAACGCATGTCTTAGTCAGATACTACTCATAAGTATTTCTCATTCATAGCGCAACAACTTTAATGATCTTGACAAGCGTGTTATTTATCAGACAGCAAATCAATCTATACTCGTCCATATCGCCAACTTAGATTAATTGTATTACTCCTAATACAGAAATATCAAACGATTTCAAATTCTTTATTGTCACCTCGGTCGCCGGATGTTAGTCAGTCAGTCAATAACAAACGTACGTAAGTACACATTAGCACAGAGAGGTGGGATTGTCAATTCGAATCCAAATGAAGAAGAGGTAGAGAGAAGTATAGGCAGTAATGGAGTAGATCAGAGTTTGAGGAGATGGTTCGAAAAGTATAATCCAGGGAAATAAATGAAAAATGAGAAATATGGAGATGAAAAATTCAGAAGATTAGAGTTTGAAAGAAGATATAAAATGGATGCAGCTGCGCCATTGCAAACGATTTTAAACCATGTCACTCAAAATCTCTAACCAGAAGTATGGTTGTCTCAACGATACCGACAAAGTAATAAACTTTTACTAACATGATTCATTCCAGTTGTCAGTGACTTCAAGGACTTGTAATATGTTCTAGTTTAGGCATCTCAAGCCTTCTTCTAGCCTACATCTATATCGGACAACAATGCTCATCGAGGTAGTCAGTGACTGTGCATACATAACACACGTCCCAAACACCTGAAATGATAAAGATTCACAGCTTCAGCAGTTGATTTGTCAATCGTACCTAGTACTCTTTTCCCAATGCGAGTACTCTACCTACATCCTCTTTTCTTAACGGTCACGTTCTGCCACATTCACAAAGTAGAACAAAGCGAACTGTCGCACAGTTGTCGCTTCCTTTACTAACTGATGAATCTCTTGCCTACGCCATAAATAAGGCAAGTTAGAAAAAGCCAATCGAAACTTTTGTATCAGTACTGAAATTTCGTCATATACCAGGCCGTCAGCATTGATCAACTTCCCAAGATAAGTGAGTCACGCAGCACACTCAACCACTTCATTCCCTATCACTAGTTCAGGTGCCAACTTAAGCCAATCTACTGAAGCAGAATTTTTCATTTTGGAGTGGGAGAATCGTATCCCGAAGGCGCATACAATTTTTTTGTGTGGTCAGAACACTGCATTTTGTCAGTGTCAGCATATTCTAAGTCAACAGGCGAATCGTCTCGTAGACGGTTACCGCTGTATGATAAAAAGAAAATAAGTCTTATTTAGGTCTTTTAGGAGGCGTTAGATCCCCAGAACTCATTTGATAAAGGTCCTAATTTTGGATTTTTTTATGTGTTCACGTGTATTGCTTCCACATATATTCCGGTTCGCTTACATTTAATTTGGTTAAACCCTTTCGATTAATTTATTTAACCAAGCCATTTGTATTGCGAGCAACAATTTATATGCACCATTCGTTCTTATTATCGTCTGGTTTGTATGATGAGCTCACATGACGTGTCCCACTTGTCATTTGACCTTGTCAACTATTCGTCGCTTTTATTCATGTGTGTGCATGCCTATCTCGTTGGTCACATGTCTGTCTTATATTTGTCTGACTATTCTTAGTCATGCTCTATCTCTTGGAGTTGGCTCATTAGCCTTCTTCAGCGCACTTCGCCTATCCATTCGCTTCCTTCGCCTAGGAGTTGGCTCAACAGCCTACTCCAATTCACGTCGTTTCGTTCGCTTTATTTGCTGCTTTTCAACTTCGCTTTGTGGTGTGTCCAAAAATAAACGTGTTCATCACTGCGAATGAGTTCGCCTTCTGATTTACAACCGTCAGACGCTACTTTGTAACGATTGTCTGGACGAGCTAATCATGAACATTAAGAACACGCTTAAATAGACCCACAACACACGTATAAGTCGACCTTCAGCTTACATTTCACACTCGGAAAATCCTTGACTAGGTCATTTTAATACACTATGTTTGTGGCCTTTCCATGGACGTTTCCATCATGTATAAATAGGCTCGATTTGTGTACTTTTTGACCTCGTGTTTTCTGGATGCTTGTAGAAAACACTTTCTACGCCTTATCAAGACTTCTTGATACAATTAGCAGGGCCGCGGACAAACGTGTCGTTGAGACATCGCCTTCGACCAGCTTATAACTCGTAATACCATTCAAGCATACCATTCATTTGACCAACATACCAATGCAGTAAAAAGAACATCCCATCAAAGAATCATTGATTTTTAATTGCTTACTTGATATGTACGAAAAGTTTCTATACTCCATGTATCAGTCTCGTTTCGTTCAATATTATTGGATGATAGTCGTGGTGTAATCAAATCCATCAATTCTAATCGATTTTTAGACCAATTTCTCACAATCGTATAATTCAATACATTTTTTGAAGGACCATATATACAGTCTAAACAATGAATGGTGAAACGATAAATTAAACCGGGACCATTATGTTCCATAGGATCCAATGGCTGTTTTTTAAAAAAAAATAGAAATAAATCGATAAGTCAATACATTTTAAACAAGTCATGACATATTTTGGAGTAATTATGATAGCGTTAGGATATTCATCCAATATCCTAAGAGAATTATTGATCAAATCCTATTGGTCGATCTCTATTGGTAAAAAATTATGGTCGTTTTAACTATCAAAGTCAAATACTTCAATGTTGTCTCTTATTGGTCATCCGAACTGTCAATGTCATTTCAAATGTTACTTCCTATTGGTCGTCTTAACTGTCAATGTCACAGAATTCGATGCTGTTTCCTATTCGACCAAAATGTATAAATACGCATTATCTGTAACATTTGATGACCACGACCAGGACCAGGGCTCGGTCCCGGATCCCTACTGCGGGATCCTGATTCTCTTCTAGATTCGGACCTAGCACTTTCTAGATGCTTGTAGAATACAGGTTCTACTTCACATTCAAGTCTTATTTTTACTAAATATGGGAGTTGGGATAATCGGATTTGAGTAGCATGTCGTGTCACCCACCGGATCCTCGATGCTCGCTCTCGTTTTCCGACTAGGTAAACTCGTAATAGTTCAAGTATATCAAGTTGACGTGTTTACGTGCAGGCGTAACAATTAGCAAGAAACCTGGATGCACTAAACGGCCATTTCGTTGTCAGCAGTGTGCATCCACTATGCCCGCCCACTGGAGTTGAACTGAGGACTTTCTGTCTCAAGTGGAAACCTTTAACTTCCAGATCAGTGGGCTAGCATCCATGTCTAACTTTGATTAATCCAAGATATTGCTCAGCCTCATCGATTGTCTTTGGTGGGTTGCTGCCTTACACCGGACAGGGCTGAACTCCAAGGATCATTGCTTCTCACTACAACCGCGGGAATTTCCTCAAGAAGATAGTCACCAGTGAGCTCATCTTATGATTATCATGATAGTGTTGTCGAGATTGGCTGCAATCAGGCATTAAGACAGTTGGATGCTGGCACAGTGTTTTAAGGGTTAAGCGTTGATGTTTGAGACTGATGGTTTTGGGTTGAACTCCTGTGATCAGGCGTCGTGGATGCCCATTTCTGATGACTCCGATAGCATGAGGAAACGACCATCTAGTGCTTCTAGGTTTCTAATGACGGTCCAACAACGGCTGATTTATGATTTCAATGAAACTCAATAATGTTCACAACTTTATAAAAAAAAGCAGTACAGTATAGGTTGAAGAATGCTGTTCGGAGGCCTATCCTTCATTAGGAGTAACTGGCATAAGTAATTAAGTAATATAACACAAGGTCTTCTGATTAGTAAGCTAGCATCAAGTGTATCATTACATTTGTTGCCTGCACAAAATGTTTTTAAGCAAAGTAAAAACAGATTTAAGTACATGTGGGAGAATTTCATTAGATGGAAACTTCTCGTCCTTTGTGAATAAATTATCAGTGAAAAGTTAGGCTACTTTTTAAATAATAAGTAGTGTATTATAAATCATATATATTTTACCTTCCATTGTATAATCAAATTATTTGGTTTATTTCCGTAAACAATCAAATATTCCGGATTATTTAAAGTTGGTTCCGGTGGAAGTATACATAATTCATTTTGTTCAACTGTCAATTTTGGTATAATATCACTTGGTGAGGATTTACCCACATGATTTAATAATTCAATACGAAAATGATAAATGACATCAGAGTTTAATCGAATAAATGCACGTCCAATGTTCAATGGAAGTTTCGCTGAATTCCTATGATGATCAATATTCAATTCTTGTAACGAATGATTTTTACTTTTTAAATATTCAATAACTTTTATTTCTGGTACAAGATCACTTGAATGCCATTGATCTTTGAGTATAGCTTGGTTGATCATGGTTTGAGCTATTTCTAACGCAGTTTTATTTAACCAATAAAGATTATTGTGATTGCTTTTGATGTGATGATTGAAATCTTCACTATTGAATAATGTAACGTGATCATTAGTATTTTGTTTGAATGAAGAAAAACCTTCCATAGGACGATAAAATCCTGTAATATAAGTAATTAAAACTTTTTCCACTGGTGCATTATTCGTCTCACCGATTTCCCATGTTAACATGACGTAAGGCGATAATGTATTACGATGATTACATGTTAATTTAACAGATTTCGGTGGTTGTGGACGTCCTGAATTAATATGAATGTGTAAAAAAATTATTTCCATGAAATTCATTATGTAACTGAGTGAAAAAATGTTAGTGATGTATACCATTATCAACCAATGAATGAGTGTTAGATGATGTGGAACTCCACCCGAACCCCTACTGAGGCTACTGCCATTCTAAAGCCTGGACAAATGAGGAGGCTTAAGTATTGCAGGTTAGGGACCCTTTCTAGTGGAAAACTAACTGTCTAAAAAGACGCTGACGAGATGAAATAATTCAAGCTCATTTGAATGAGTTATGACGTCTTGTTTGTGAAAGCTGAGTTCCTTCGAAAGTTACGAGACCAATGTCCCTTCTCAAAACCAGAGCAACCATTAACTCAGGTACATGGAATGTTCGTACAGTAGAGTCATCCACGGGGGCAGAAACTTGGAGAACTACGGAAGATATGAGTGTTTATTAAAAGTTGTCTACGAAAAATATTTCGGATCCGTTGGCTCAGGCACCATCAGCAAAAACCTGCTATGGGAGAGAATAAACCGGTCCCCAGTGGAGGAAGAAATCAAGATAAAGAGCTGGAAGTGGATGGGATAAACATTGATGAAATCATCCAACTGCGTTACAAGACAATCCGTCACCTGGAACCCCCAGGATCAAAGGAACAGAGGAAGACCGAGAAAAAGATTACACCGAGAAACGGTGACAAGCATAAGAAGAATAAATCTCAATTGAACAGAACTGGAAAGGAAGGCCCAGGAAAGTGTAGATTGGAGAATCCTGGTCGGGGGCCTATGCTCCACAAGGAGTAAAAGGCGAAATCAAAGTAAGTAAGTAAAGTCCAAATTATTAACAATTCTACTACAAATATTTAAAATAATCAGCCTCCAAATGCCCTGGTTCAACTGAAATAGGGACAATCCTCTCTCATATGGCCATGTATTTATAGTCAATGTCATAGAAGTCGTACTTAATGCCTTACCGTCTCAAATATGTTGTGAAGTGGCGCCCTCCAAGAGTGGTTACTTCACTGAGAAAGAAAGAGTGGAATAGAAAGGATATTTGGCTATTGTATATTATAAATATATATATATATATATATATATATATATATATATATATACCGGAGTTAAAGGGATGACTTCTTCTACTTGATTGACTTAAATGAGAATATTCGAACTGTCAGTCAGCCAGTCATTAGTCAATCAGCAACCATGTAGAATTCGATACATAACTTACACCAGTTCAAGTTGCCATTCCATATTACCACACCCAGGGATGAAATTGTCCATTCAAATCCCACAGTAGTAGAGATAGTAGAAGTATTAGCGGTAACTGGATAAGATTAGCGTTTGAAGATATAATTCAAGAAGTATAATTCAGTGAGATAAGTTTAGAAAGAGAAAGTTAAAGCTGATGAAGAATTTAGAAAATTAGATTTAAGAGAGGACAGAATGTATGAGCCTTTGTCTTTGCAAGCCATTATGAGCCATGTCATTCAAAGTCTCTAGCCATCACTTACTGTTGTCTCGTGGACCTCAACCAACCTACCAACATGGCTCAGTCCACCTAATCACTGACTTCATCGATTTGTGCTATGTTTTAGTCTGGCCACCTCTAGCTTACTTCCAGCCTACACCTACATCAGGCATCATCGCAAACGATTTTCGAACAGTGTCATTCAAAGTTTCCAAATCTAACTATTAGTATTCATGATATTTTACACTTGTAGTGCCTCCACATATAATATTCCAGTTCGTTTACATTTAACTTGGTTAAGCCCTTTCGATTAATCTATTTAACCAAGCCATTTGTATTGGAAGCAACAATTTGTATGTACCATTCGTTCTTATTATTATTGTCTGGTTTGTATGAGTTCACATGACGTGTCCCACTTGTCATTCGACTTTGTCAACTATTCGTCGCTTCTATTCATGTGTGCATTTTTCGCTTGTCGCATGTCTGTCTTATATTTGTCTGACTATCTATTCTTAGTCATGTTCTATCTCTAGGAGTTGGCTCACTATCCTTCTCCAATTCACGTCGCTTCATTCGTTTTATTCACTGCTTCTCCGCTTCGCTTTGTGTGTGTCCCAAATAAACGTATTCAACACTACGAGTTCGCCTTCTGATTTATAAACCGTTCGACGCTACTTAGTAACGATTGTCTAGACGAGCTAATAACCGAGCTATCCGAACACGCAGATAATTGGACCTCACACACTAACAACAGCAATACAAATTTATTCACTTACCTTGAATTATCAAATGAATAGAAGCATTTGTACTATCCAACTGTGTACTAGCTATACATGTATACAGGCCAGTATCACTTGGTGTCAAGTTGAAAATCATTAAACTTTCATTATTGAATGACAAAGAGGATGAGGATGATGTTGATGATGGTGATGAGGTTGATGATATATTCAGTCGATCATTATGATCAAAATCATTTTGTAATGTTAAATTATCTCTAAAATAAAAGTTAAATTACATTGGAATTGTAATAT